GCAGATGGACATAAGGCCTTGACTCAAGTACTCCCTCAACACAAGAACACTTTGTTTTAATAATGTGGCATCCTGTGATGCTCACCTTCCCGACATGATCACTAAAGACAAAATGGGTGCATAAGCAAATGAAAGCTGATGGTGCCAGCTATCAAAATATATAGCGTCTGGGGTCTTAAAAGCTTGAAGATAAACAAGCGGCCATCTAGCTCAGAAGCAACAAAGCCCACATGGAAGAAGCACACCAGCCTGCGTATCATGAGGTGTCAATGGGATCAGGTATCAGGTATCTAAGACCCAGAACAAAATCATACCCAATGTGAATGGGGGTGGGGTGGGGTGGGGGTGGGGGGGAGACCCAAAGCTCATCTATAGACAACTGGACATCCCCTCACAGAAGGGTCACAAGGAAGAGTCAGCCAGTCAGCATGCAGTACAGCACCAACGAAACACACAACTTTCCTCTGGTTCCTTAGTGTTTCCTTTCCCCCATTATCATGGCTTCAATTCTACCTTACAAATCAGATTAGAACAGAGCACGCACTGCTACGGATAAAAGCCAGCAACACAGGGAATCCAGGAGAGATCAGCCCTCAGGGCCAACAATGAGAATAGAGATAACGGGAGGATAAGGGAAGGTGGAGAAGACGGGGAATGGATCCCAAGGATCAACATACAACCTCCTCCCTGGGGGACGGACAACAGAAAAGTGGATGAAGGGCAACAGAGGATGGTGTAAGACAGGAAAATAATAATCTATAACTTATTAAGGGTTCGTGAGGGAGGGAGGGCGGGGAGTGAGAGGGGAAATGAGGAGCTGCTATCAAGGGCTCAAGTAGAAGGAAAATGCTTGGAAAATGATGATGGCAGCATATGTACGAATGTGCTCGACACAATGGATGATGTATGTATTGTGAAGGGAGATGTAAGAGCCCGCAAGAAAAGTATCAAAAAAAAGTCCAATCCTGAAAATGCCAATAGAAACAAATGGAGAACCTTACAAATCTGACACAAGCTAGGAAAAAGGCCGAGGAAGCACCACTAAGCCAGAATTCTGAGCAATTGACTCAGGAACTCTTATGCTCCATTTCTAACGAAGCTCATAAAATAATGGTCCTAACGATACTATAAGTATTTAAGAAATTTAACAACTTTAATTCTGTCTTTGATGACAAATTCTAGAAAAACATCTTCAAAAGATTAAAAATATTAAAACAGTGACTTGTTTGTTTAATATGGATACATTCAATGTTTGAAGAGCTTAAACTCACCTGAAGGATTTTGTAGAAGCTTACTTCCATACCAGAAACCAAGTGCTTAAGTTTGTTCATCAAATCAAGAGTTTTCAAAATCACATCAGCAGCGAGTTTGCTTTAAGAATAAGTTAGGGTTAAAATTGGTTAACTCAAAATTCGCTGAGAGCTGTTTCCCTTCATAATCCTAACGAAATCAAAAGGCCGACATTTGTTTGATTTTAAACTTCAAGAAGGTAATCACTTTGTCGAGAAGTACAAATATCAGAGACCAACATCCTTACAATCTAAGAGCCAAAGATAACACAATGGCATTAATAATAGAATTTTAGACAGTAATTCTTGTTCTACTTTCAAATACTAACATTATTAGACTTTCTGCTCAAAATTAGTGTTAATGTAAGCAGTATGACCTAAATAATTCTTAGCTTTGTCAACGGAATATCACTAGTCGGCAATCTTAGTCAACAGAGTTGTTGAACACCAACTATGCACAGTTTTCTGAACTTTATACCCGAAGAGGAGTATAAAAAAAGATGACTTTGTTTTTGAGTGCAATCACTGACAATTATGACATTTATGGAAATTTGAACAAATAATGGTGTCTAGCATGTAGCAGTCGTTCCATAGAGATTTGTCAAATGAATTTAATTCATCAAGGGGCAAGGGCACTGAAGATTATCTATCTTCACACTCGTAGTAAAAATCCACTTTTAATCATTAAAGAAAAAGAGCTGTCCCTGGTATGGGAAACCTTCAGCAATGAAGGTTTTTCCTTGTTGAAAAAAGGTTCATATTTTTTTTCATTTAAAATTGTAAAATTACATGCATAAAATTCGCAAAAAGGAGTTAGGGAAAGAAATGTTAGGGAGTACTGAAAACTCAGACAGCCACAATGAATTAAAACAGAGCAAAATAGACCTAAACAATTAAAATAGAAACCGTAAGGGTTAATATCAGAGACAGTCTATGAACTGAATGAATGAAGTAAAATCATTATGAAAAATGCTTGTTGCGTCTCTGCTATAATTTGAGTTGCTGTTCTCCAAAAAGGATAAAAAGCATTGCCATTAGATGTTTTTAAAAACTTTAGTAATTTTGCCCTAAACTTTTGTTACGTGGATGTCATATACTCACCACAGTTCAGAATCTGCTACCTTTGTTCCAAACCCCAGGTCAATCTTGCCGTATGTAAATTGCTGTTCTATCAGAGTAGTACACTTGACAGTGGTCAGACATTTTGCAACATGCATTTTGAGAGCATCCTCTCCACAGAGAGGTAGGTTTTGTTAAGGAACACAAACAGGAATTTCTGAAAATATCTTATATTTGTTTAGCACTGTATAGCATTTGGGGTCCCTGTAGAGTACAAACTAAGGTTAATGCACTAGATTGCTAAACAAAGGTTGGCAATTAAGTCCACCCAGAAATGCCTCAATCAAGAGAAAAGTCTCACTCCCAAAACTCCTTCAATGAAAACCCATAAGGCGCAGGTCTACTCTGACACACAGTTGTACAGGGCAGAAACCAACCCAACAGCACCTGTTTGCTTTTACAGTGTTCAGGTGACTTCATGGAAATTATTGTTTCCTTGCAATATAGCTCCAGGTCTGAAAAGGAAACTTCGGAAATTTAAGTTACTGGTAAGTAATCCAGATTAGCACTCAACGTTTCTCACTAGTGATAAAAACAAGATTTTCCTTTTTAACCGGATAGGCATCTTTTATTAGAAGTAATAATAATCAATTAATAAGTTAAAGAACATTATTTCAAATTGAGCATATGTTAAATTGAGTATCTAGGATTAAAAAGGATCAAGTTATGGTACCACTTAATAAGAGTCTGCTTGAGTGTACTAATTATAAGGAGTAGGGCAGCAGAGTAATCATATAAATCCTAGTGCAGATTTTCAACTTTAGGTGGTAAAATCAACCGAGTAATTCAAACACACACACACTCTCTCTCTAGGGTTTCACATTATCCACTGGAAAGATCTCGTGTTAAGATTTAAAAAAATATTCCCCAACTGTTCTGTCCAGGGTGTGGAAAGAACTGCTATAAAAGATCAAGAAAATTAAGGAGCAGTAACTCAGAAGATTAAACAGAGGTTGAGTTTGCTCTAGGACAGGACAAAGCTGAGCACATTCCTGTTGTTCTAAGATGAAAGGAAGTCCAGCTAGGTAAATTTAAGATATATATGGCTGACATACAGAGGTTCACTGCTCAAATATATCCATACACATACATACATACATTGGGCTACTAATTGCATTAAAACTACAAACTCCTTCATGGGAGAATTAGCTCAGAAAATTCTGTATAGGGTCATTATCTGGGTTTGGTTTTACTTTTAAAGAATTTATACTTGGACTTCTAAGGAATTTAGAATCAGCTGATTATAGAAAAAGAATTAACACAGAAGCAGCATGGAAATTAGTACACGACTTAAGCAGTGACCCTGTTGTACTCAAGGGTTTCTTTTACTGAGATGAGTTAATACGTCTTGATATAGTTGTCTTTTTCTAAAATCACATGTGATATAATTATTGAAACATGTATAGATATAGATTTTAAATTTTGAAATGAACCAAAAATCTAGACGAAAATAAATGAACCTATAGAGACAACAAGTAGGAAAGGGGCTCCTGGGGGTACACTGGGGGGACGGGGGTTAAAGAGGAGCTGGCATCAAGGGTCCAAGAAGAGAATGTTTTGAAACTGATGTGGTAGCAATTGTACAATACTGCCGAACACGATTGAACTATGAAGTATTATCTATATTAGCTCCCAATAAAATGGTTTTGGAAAATAAATAAATAATGCTCCAAAGCGGAAAAATAAAACAAAATAAAAAAACTGCTTGCTGCCTTTTTTTGGGGGGGTGGGGGAGCGACACAGAAGTAGCCCTACCAATATTTCCTTATCTTCTAGATATTCCACCAAAGATGGCATCACTAATTATCCAGGGCAGCAATCAGCATCAAAATCAGAAGTTGGATTAACAGGGAAGAGTAGAATAATCATTTTAGAATATATCTTCTAATCCCAACTTGTGGTAGAAATGTTTACATAAAGTTTAAAATGTATCTTAACATGCATTTTAGCATTAACAGTTTTACTATTAATGTACTTACTACTAAATTTTAGATTTTTAAATTCTGTTACAAAATAAACACTAAATGAGTAAATGCAACTTTAGGGAAAGAATGAGTAGTTATTTATATAGTTTCCACATTTGTGACCGGAAAGGATATTTAAAAAAATTTCGATGCCCTTGATCATCCTTTCACATTTTTTCCTCATTAAGGTATCATCTAAATTTTGTTCTGTAAATTGAAGTTGGTCAAGGACCGTAGGCAGCAAAAGGTTCACAAAATGATCGGCTGAGGAACAGGAAGCAGTATCTATGATATCCTGCAGAATCACCACCACCACCACGGCCAATTCAAAGTACAGTGCAACAAAGGAGACAGAAACAGTGATCACTGAGCTGTAAGACTCATACATTTTTTAGAACTTTTCCAATATTTCATTGACCCGAGTTCTACAAAATCTTATCTTTTAATTCAGTCTCAAGGACATGCTAACTTTCTTCTCAGATGGAAGAATAAGACTTTATCAAATGGATATGAATATGATTTTTACACTGCTCTAAATGAGAAATATTTACTGAAAGGTGGTATCTTGGATTTGCCGTATATACTAACAACAACAATATTGGACTTAGTATTCTCTAACCATGAATAATTTCAATTAAGAATATCAAATGTGTTTTTCAATGATAAAATTATGAATCTTGACCAACATAAAATATAAAGAATGTGTACATAAATCTTTATGAACACAAATTAATCATTCTTACATCTATAGGCTCCATTCCATTTCACTGACTGACATCGATATCCTGATATTAATCTACTCGACCATTTAATACAGTAGATAATACAGACAAGGATGGAAGGACAGACGGTGACTAAACAGTCACAGTCACAAAACATCCAAAGATCTAACTCTCAGTTACTACCTCCAGTTATTACACTGGACTGAGCATATATAAGCTACTCAGTGTTGGGGGATCCCGAGTTAGAAACACTAATACATGCAGAAAAAAAAAAAAAATAGCTGAATGAAGGCAAGTCATGTGACTGATAACAAATGAAATAATGATGAGCATTTCTGAACACAAAGCCAAATTGCCAATCATCCTGTTACCTCAAATATTTCCTTGAACAACTGTAATGCTAAATTAGAACAGTTTTCTGAAGCATCCAGAGGTTGGCTTGACCAACGGAGTAAAGCCACAGTGGGTTCTAAACATTTAGAACGGCTTCCCAGGCCGGTGTTGCCAGACGGAGCCTGTTCAAATATCTTCTGAGTGAGCACGTGGCGCAGCTGAGTCACTGAACAGAAGGCAAGAAGTAATTCTAAAACCTGTGCAATATAAAGTCTTCATTAAATGTCAGTATCATTGGACTTTCATGTACAAAGCAATCAAATGATGAAGCTAAAAATGACATTTTTAAAAAAGAAAATACTCTAATCCCCAAACTAAATTCAGCTTCCACTTATCCTTTCATTAATATTTTCAAATTGTGTGATTAATTACCAGTAGCTCGCAAAGGAATTTATTTGTTAATGGCCATGCCACTAATGAAAGGGCCCTACTGGCAAAATGCTTAAGCCCTGTTACAAACGACGAGGTCCTCTGGACCGGCCAGCTGCTGTGGGAAAGAAACACGCAACAGCGTGTTCCTGTGCAGACTGCCGCGCAGGGACCCCAGTGCGGCAGGCCCACCCTATGCTAAGGGGCGCAACCTGATGGCACCTAGCAGTGACTTCTGAAAAGTAAGACTATGAAAGTCAGACTAGGAAAGGGGCAACTTCAACTCTTATGGAGTAAAGCAGGGCGGGGAGGTGTGGCGGTTACCACCACCAACATGCTGTTTCTGAGATTAAAAATAATTTTTTAAAAAAATTAGTAATAAAGAAAACGTTATCTGAGGACTTAAGGCTCACTCTATAAAGCACATAAAAAAAACACCCCCAAATCAAAAAACCTCAGTGATATCGAGTCGATACCGACACATAGCAACCCTATATTAGGATAAGATTTAAAAGTGGCAACCTAGCTTTAGAATGCTGATGATGATTTCCACATTACTTTGTACATTGCTGGCATTATGCCCCTTGATAACCTTCTTCTATTCTGTTCCTTCTCTATTGCATACTTTTGGGCCTTATACTCACAGTGAGATAGTAGCCCATAGCAACCTTTGCTTAGGTTACAGTCTGCTTTATTCCTTATACTACCAACCTATCATTTCGTATGAACGGTATCTTGGCATCTCTTTACTTCTCCATTTATTTTCTACCTCTCTTTATCTCTGTTAACATGTAAAGGACATACAGTTGGGAAAGTACCTGAAATATATAGAATTCACTCCATCAATACTTATTATAAAAATGATAATCTCTATTACTTTTTAGCCTTTCAAATGAACTGAGTGAATGTTTATAGAGATACCACTTTTGCATTCAAAGACTCATACACATTATTTCATCTCATTCACTGCAATCCCCACAAAATAACATACATCACCTATTCTACCTCCTATCCTGTATCTATCCGTTTTTACCAAGCTTTCTGAATTTTGTCCTTGAGTAAATGCTGCCATGTTGGTCCCAAATGGCCAATATTCTCAGGTGTGCTGGTTGGCGGTTCCCATTGCTCATTTTTCGGTGAAAGAATATAGACAAAAAGCTTGGTCTCTTTTATGATGTTGAGTTTTACTCCACATTCTTTCTCCCACTGAATTCAAGCCTTTCTAATGGGATATCTTTCAGAGCAGTTGCTACTGATAGGCAGGCACCATCTAGTTCCTTTGGTGTCAGGATCATTTAAACTGATATTTGCATGGTCCATTAGTTCATTAGACTGATTCTATGTTTTCATTCTCACCATACTTCTCCACTGGACAGAGATAACCCAACAATTGTACCTTAGATGATCACTCATGAGATGTTAAGGCTTTATCTCTACTCAACAAAGTAGGGCACACCTTTGTGGAATGCTATGCCAATTGACCCTGGTCTTGCTTCTGACACTATGGTCTTGATTCCCCAAGAAAACTGACTCAGTCTTGCAAGGTATTTGGCTGTTTAATAATTTTCATAACTCTGATCTTATATGCTCCATAACATACATGGATATATGAGGGGGTACCCCCCAAAAAACACTGGAATTTTTCTTTTCAAAGCTATGTATTTAATTTTAACAAAACAACCTTATCACCTTCAAAGTGTCCTCCATTACACTTAATACATTTGTCAAATCTGCAATTCCATTCTTGGAAACATTTTTCAAACTCAACTCTTTGGATGGCTGACAGTACCTCCCTCGGTTTTTTCTTTGCCTCTCCTACTTTGTAAATCACTGTCCTTTCATGTCTCTTTGCATTTGCAGAAACACTAAGAAGTCGCACAGAGCAAGGTCAGGTGAGTAAGGCACAGAGGAACAAAAGAGGCATGCTGTTTTTTTGCCAAAAACTGGTGCATCGAGATGGCTGCATGAGCACGTGCACTGTCATGGTGGCAAAACCAGTCCCATCTGCCACAATTCAAGCCTTTTGTAATGCAATCGTTTCAGAACCTCTAAATAGAAAGCTTGATTAACAGTCTGATTTGGTGGAATGAATTCCAAATGAACTACTAGGCGACATTCTCATCTATTTGGGAAGTTGACGGATGTCAAGAAAGAGGTTTGTCATTGATTGACATTTCACTGTTTTTGAAAAGAGAAAACCACTCGCACACTTGAGTTTTTCCCATAGCACTGTCCTTGTAAGCTGTGCACAACATCACAACAGTTTCTGCGGGATTTTTTTTCTTGGGCTGGAAACAAAATTTCATAGTCGCACGTGATTCTCTTAAATCAGCCATCACAATAAACGAGGTTGGAACGAAACTGCTTTTATGAAAAAATTCACTGCGAACAGAGAGAATCTTTACAGGTGACGCCACTGGGTCCACTAACTCAAATAGTGAGTTGTTCAATGCTCATCTAGCAGAAAAAACGCGTACTAGGAAAGCTCTACTCCGCCCAGAGCCATTCCTCATAGTTGCAAGGACAATGTATAAACATCCACTGTAAGTGTGTGTGTCACTGGAGTGGGTGTAACTCACTACCATCGAGTCAAGTTGGACTCACAGGACTGTATGGAACAGAGGACAACTTCCCCTGTGGGTTCCTGAGACATTCACTCTTCACAGGAATCGGAAATCTCATCTTTCTCCTGTGGTGGTTGGTGGTTTTGGGAACAAAACACCAAACTCATTGCCATCAAGTCAATTTTGACTTATAGTGCTCTTTTAGGACAGGGTAGAACTGCCCCTGTGGGTTTCTGACAGTTAACTCTTACGGGAATAGAAAGTCTAGTCTTTCTTCCTTAGGGTGCTTTGTGGTTTCAAACTGCTGACAGAGCAGCTCGCAGCCCAACTCACAATCCACTACACCACCAGGGCTTCTGTGACGATGGGAAGTTTACATAAATACTCCACTCTCCTTTCCATACCCATTCAACCTATCCATCTATCCACGCATCCACTTGTACATCACTTAATGCAGGATCACGTTCAAAACGGACGCCCTCTTAAGTGTCGTCTCCGGCCTCCCTGATTCTTTGTCAACCTCTTTATTGAATATTGCCTTTCCCTTTACTCAAGTTCTTGAAATATACTTGCCTTCACCAATTGAAAGTACATTATTTCCTCTTTTTACTTTTTAATTGCCTTCATTATAAACTCTCACTGAAAGTTTAACTTAAAGTGAACTTCCAGACATCTTTCATGTCTGGTTGAATTCTGAGTGATGCTGTCATTTACGTTGTCTGCCACTACTGGTTCTCTAGTCAAAGAACTCGCTCTAGTATTTGTGGTAAAACTGTGAGTTGGAATCAACTTAATGTCTTTTTTTTCTTTTTTAACATTTTATTAGGGGCTCATACAACTGTTATCCCAATCCATACACACATCAATTGTGTAAAGCGCATTTGTACATCGTTTCTCAAAACATTTTCTCTCCATTTAAACCCCCGACATCAACTTAATGTTTTTGTGGTTATTTTTAAATCTTTGCATAGTCACATAAATTTTACAATCAGCTTTCCATATTCCACATACCCAAATTTTACACACACAGACACACGTTCATTTTGTATTCGCCAAGTATAATTTAGTTATAATTATTTTTATAGGTTTTAGACTTTCTATATTCAGCATCACATCATTGTACTGAGATGACTCTGACTCATTGTAAAATGTGAAAAGCAAAACTATAAAGTTTTTAGAGGAAAACGTGGAAGTCTATCTTGGTGAGTTTAGAATATGCCAATATTTTCTTAATTGAGCCACAAAGCACTAACTGTCTAGGATAATCAATACACGAGCTACATTAAAATTAAGACATTAAGGCAGTGTAAAGACCACTCATAGAACAGAGAGATATTTGATATGTATGTGTGTATGATATATACATGAGGGGCCTTCCAAAATTTTGGTCATGGAACGTGTTTATTAAGAAAATCGTATGCATAGACGTCAAACATTTTTTACCAAAATAAACTCCATGGGTGCTCAAGCTACTGAGTCCAGGTTCACTACAGTCAAGCGTGGAGCATTCAATGGGAATTTTCAACAAGATCAAGCTCCTCAAGTACCTCTTGGAAGAATCATTTCAAGACACAGATGCTGAAGGCATTTTCCTTGTTCACTTGCTCATTTGGAAGGAATTGGGGAAAGGGGGAGAAGCTTTAGCATAAAAACACCCAGAAAAGCTTCACCGGAGTTATTCCTCATCAGAAAATACGCTCATCAAACCGGCAATGTTTTAAGTGTTTTGGATGGAAAATCATTAGGCATACACTGTATTGGCATGCTTTGGCTCCTTTAGACTTCTTTCCATTTACAAATCTTTAAAATATCCTTAAATGCGTATTCATCTTTCTTCAGTTAGTAATTTATAATAGGCTACATTGACAAGTTAAATTTCCAGGACCAGTCTTTTAGGGACGGACTAAATGGCTGGCATCATCACTTATAATAGTATCATGACCTTCCTGACACAATCGCTGAAGACAAAGCGGGTGCATAAGCAAATGTGGTGAAGAAAGCTGATGGTGCACGGCTGTCAAAAAATATAGCGTCGGGGGTCTTAAAGGCTTGAAGGTAAACAAGC